AGATGTGGAACTTACAGTCACCTCGGGTGACTTCACTGGAAGCCAAGCGTTGTGAACAGCCTGATACCTGCTGTCCAACATCTCCCGCAGAGGTTCTTCACACTTGTGAGTGTCCCACCAAGTCAGGGAAGCACCAGACACGACAATTGCATCAGTCGCTACTTGGAAACAGTGTCTGAATCCAGTCGATTGCTCCTTGATCCCTTTAAATGCCATTATAACTCTTCCCCTTTCCCCTCCCCCGCCTCCTCGAAACACACCAACACACACACACGTGCACACAAATCAAGGACTTCCTATCCGGGGTTTAAAGGCAACTCCTTCTATTTAGAAGCAATATTCAAGACTGCAAAAGAAGCAGGAAGTGCTTTGACTTACAACACTGAGAATAGTAAAAGGGGTGGGAACAAGTGCAGCAACAGTAACAGTTCATTTACATCACAGAATCTTCTCCCTCGCCCCAGAGAGACCCGTCTAGTTTGTCTTGTTTCTCGACCGAATGATAATGATGCAGGATTTGGGGCAGTGGACGGACAATGGGCAAGAGTCCCGGGGGCCGCCTGACGTTCGCATGTCAGGGCTTTATCTCTGGAGATAAAACTGTGCCAGTGAGAAGGACGGAGACAAAGTAAAACAATTCCATCTTATCTCTCGCTGGGGAACACAGACACAGACACACACACATATGCTCCTCTCACTCCCCATTCTGACCATAACCTGCTACAGTATCCCCCGCTGTATGCATGTGCCCACATGGTTGGGTGAGCAGAGGGCGGGAGGGTGGGAGGGACCTTAGTGAATAGTTGTGATTTGACATGTTGAGACTTGCATGTCCTTAGTATACGCCCAAAGACATCAATTAACTGACTAACTACTAACTAACTCATCTCTCCTTGGCTTTGTTTAAAAGCCTTCCTCCACGCCCACCCCGGTAACTCTCGCAATCCGTGAAGAATTAGTATTATTGTCACTGTGGATATAGATTGTGTATTTGACAAAAGAGTGTTTTATTTCCAGGACAAAGCTTAACACCTCATCTTGCTGTCAAGCGCTTATTACAGGGCGTCCACAAAGGCCTCTCAAATTAATGAGATTTTCAAAAAGAAATCTCAAAAGGTGTGAGAAACCTTCTGAAACAGTTTCAGCAAATTGCCTATTCCCGTAGAAAATGATCAGAAATGATTGAGTTTAAGTTAATATTTGCGTGTTCGTTGGTTAACTAGGTTTGCTTTACGCTTGTTAGCTGGTGTCAAGCTTACCTGTAGAACTACAATCCTAATTAAAGTAAATTAAGACGAGTTACAGAATTTTTATCCGAGGGTGACAGATGTTATGGGTAGCTGGTATAACTCGAGACAAAATGCGATAAGAAAATGTCGGAGTGCTGTGCCCTAGACCCAATAGTCTGAGTGTTGTTGATTGTTGATGTACTGGCCCTGTATTGTCTAAATTCCCAAGGCCGTCCTGATTAAACAGTTATCAAGTACATAAATAAGCACCAGTGTAACAAAACAACTTGCATTTATATAGCGTCCCTCACGCAGGATAGCATGCCAGAGCCCTTTATATCACGTTTACCCGTAGAACTACAATTCTCATTAAATTAGAGTTGATTAAGTTAAGACGAGTGAGTTGCAGGATCAGTTTTTGTCTGGGAACATCGCAGCCGTAAACTGCTGCCTTGGTGAACTAACCGGTTAAATATTAAAGAGTCTAAATAACCGTGTTTGAAAAGATAACAGCCAAAGACACGATTGTTAGATCGATGGATTAAGTTTCTTTATTTGTATATATTTCCATCGTCTAGGATGCAACAGACTTATCGGGATCCCCAGACATGAACCAAACATAGTATCCCAGGGAACTATTTCCATTTACTTTACTGAATAAAAGTGCTGATCCAAGCTTTCAATTTTCAGTAACTTCACACATTATGAGTTTTCAGCCGTACTGTACAGATGAATAAGTTATAAGGATCGAAGCTGCTTCGAGCAATGAAGGAAAAGAGATATTTATATATTAAAAAACCCCACAAGGTTAAAACTTTTGACTTTCAAAAACTGCTGTTAACAGCAAAAATAAATACATATTACAAACAGCAAAATCACCAGCGTGTCCTGGGGGGGGGGGGAGGGGGAGGGGGAGCAGAGAGGAAATGGGGTGTCTTTGGGGTTAAACTGGTCCCAAGGAGGCAATCCCTGCCAATGGAATTTGAGGCAGTCTTGGAAGTCCACAGTAACTCCAAGGCAATGTTAATGGTGGCTCCCACAAGCCGGTCTGGCTCCTCAGCAGCACTTGGAGGAGACGAGCAGGGATTATTACCCCAGTGCTCTGTGAACACCACAAACCAAAGCTCTAATGGGGAAGGTACTTCTGGTTGGGCAAGCTGCGTCCGGTTAGTGTGACACATACAATGATTTATTTGTGGGATGCAAAGGGGGTTTTGTTAGCGCTGTCTTCCTCGGGGCTGCAGTTACGGTTAACATTTGTTTCCGTGGAGTCCTGTAGCTCAGTGGTTAGAGCACTCGCCTCGCAAGCGAGAGACCTGGGTTCGATTCCCGGCATTGCGAAAGCTTGGGCAAGTTTCCTTACTCCACACACCTGATAATAATCCCTCAAGAAAAAAAATGATAAATTGGTCGCTCAATCCACGCCTGTTTGTAGGACACTGCTGTGCACAATTCGCTGCCGCGTTTCGCCCACAAATATACAGTCAATTCACTTTGCAGTATATTCTGTGAAGTGCTTTGAGATGTCGAGAAGACGTGAAAAGCGCTATATCAAATGCAAGAATTATTATTTATATATATATATATATATATATCTGCCTATTCTCCTTCGTAAATAAATACCAGTGCAGGCAACACGAAGCTTCGATTGCTTTTGATCCATGCAATGTCAGAGATGAAAATACTGCCGACTGCAGAAAATACAACATTATATATTCCCAAGGATTTATTGCACAGTTCTGGAGGCTTATTTAAATCCATGGAACTGAATGGTTAAGAGACCATTACAAAGGCTATCTATTTCTGAAACCACTCTTCCATGCAAGGACCTTGAAAATGATGAGCTGGCAATTTCACACCTAAAGAAGTGGAGTGGTCCATCAGTCTCTGACATTTACAGACATACCTACTAGAACCAAATTGCAAGAACATCAATAAGTGCAATTAAAAATCTAATAGAAAAAGCTGAATTTTATTCCTTTCAGTCAGCAGTAACACAACTTCAGAAGCAAACATGTGTGAAGGACACTGTATAAGTAATAATAATAATCCTTGCAATTGATATAGTGCCTTATCATGTCTTCGATATGTTTCAAAGCACTTCACCAAATATACCGTAAAGTGAATTGACTATATTTTGTGGGTGACACGAGGCAGCCATTTGTGCACAGCCGTATTCCACAGTCATGGATCGAGTGGCCTAATTATTATTATTTTTTGATGGATTACCCCAGAAAAGCAATTTGTCAATCGACTAACGACCGGGTTCCTACTTACTGCTCGGTAAACAGGCGTATGTGTGGAGTAAGCAAACTTTCCCAACGTTTCACCCTGCCTGGGAATCGAACCTGGGTCCCTTCGCTTGAGGCGAGTGCTCTAACCACCAAGCTTCAGGACTAAGCGTATTACATTCGTTATTACCAAGTATAAGATGTTCTTTGATTTATTATGCTAAATTGTTCTCTGCTAGCTGTGCGCAAACCAACCCCCTCCTCCTTCTGCCCTCCACCCCCCAGGAACATTAGCAGCGTCACTGAATTCGAAGTTAATGATTTTCACAGCTGGCACCTTCCACAGAGAATTGATAAGACGCGATGCTTTTGTATTGACTTGGCAGATTAATGAGAGGTCCTGACACAAGCAGAGTGCTCCATTTTAACTGAATTAATCCAACAGTGCCTTCTTTGTGTTATACAGTATCTCAAACTAAAAAAAAAGGTCTGCAGACAAGTTTGTTGCCCCTTTGTATATCATAATGGGATTAGTTTTCTTCCAAATGCAAATAAGGCAACAGAATTAACTTGCAAGTAAGCATTTCCCCTGCCAAGAGGACCTCAGAGCTGATATGAGAATGAGGCATTATGAGAAAATCTCGTGCAAATTCAAGCGTAAATTAAAGTGCTTTGTTTCTGTTCCTCCCAGAATAGTCTAAAAGGCGGCAGGCACCTGAAACTTATTTCTAACCCAGAAATCATCGCCTCCGGCGATCTGTGCTGTTGGATAATAAAGTTAGATAACAAAATGTTTTTTTTTAAAAGAATGTCAATTGCTTAAACATGTTACTGTTGTACAGTACAAGCGATCCTTTTTGTAAAATCTTTCATCTCAGCATTTTCCTACAGCTCCTGGTGATTGATGTCAACATTCAAGAGAACAAGCTGAAGGAAGGTAGGAGAGAGCACCACATCATTTCTGTCTGAACTCAAAAAAGATTTATAACTTACTCCAAGGTGAAGTATAATCAAACACAAAGCGACTTGCAATATAATGTTGAGTTTCCTTCCACCATTTCAATTCAAATGACTTGCATTTTAAAACCTGTGATCCTGACCTACATGCAAGGAGTACTACATTTTTATATAATCGGTGTATTTTGGTGGTCGAGCTAATACTGTGGAAGGTTGCCAGTAAGGATCATTCACTAGCTTCTTCTGATCCAACGGCACAGCTAATGAAATTCACTGTCTATATATATATATAAATAATCAGATGTAAAACTCACACGAGACGGATCAGTCAGGACCTTCACATTCAGTATGACTCACCCAAATTCTGAGTTACAGGCAAACTGTATAACCTACACTGCGCAGGTGTAATTCAAAGCAGCGGTCAGCGCGGGAGTAATGGGAGGATAGGGGAGCGACACGATGAGTTACGAGATGATAAATACCAATGGCGCAAACAAATCTAAGCAGTTTTGATAGGAAATGGAATGGGACTCGGTTGCGCGTACAACTTCGGTCATTTATAAAAATAAGGCTTATGCGAGGCTTAGTGTTGAGACCATTTTATTACATGTTAAATTGAATACTTTCCATCAATAACAGTCATGAGATTTTGAATGAGAGTTTAGCAAATGTACACTTTGGGAAGTTGACCGTGACCCGTCAGTGGTCACACCTGTGGAGCAGGGAGTGAACATGGCCCAGAGCAAAATATATCTGAACAAACAATACAACGCTGCATTTCAGACTCATTTCACTGGAAGTGTGTGTGTGCTGAGAGAGGGAAGAAATAATCTGCAACAGTAGTAGGTACATTTGTAAGCTTTTTTTTATAAACTTGGCTTTTTCATCACAGAACTAAACAACGCGAATGAAACCATTAAGACTGTAATAGGTTTACTTGCTGTACAAGTTACAGATGTAGGATTAGGTCTCTGTGTGTGATTCAATATCACCTTGTTATCAAGTGATTGCTTACATTGCAAGTCACCAGCCAGAAAGCCCAAATCAAAGCCAACAAAAGCCACGAACAGCTGGCACAAGTTATCTCAGCAATCGTACCATAAAGCGTGCCAATTTAAGATGGTAGCATTTTGATAATCACAATATCTACCGCATTGCAATTCAAATCCAATACGTTTGATGAATATGTAGCAGTTTCATAAGCACAGACATCTTTATGATTTTTCCCCCCCTCACTTAGTTTCAGCATTATTTTCATTTTGAAATAAAAACAGAAGTAGCTGAGAACACTGTGACGAAAGGTCATCATCCTGAAACATTAACTCGCTGTCCTCTCTCCATGGATACTGCCTGACCTGCTGAGTGTTCCCAGCCACTTTTTTTTAATTTCAGATTTCAAGCATCCATTTATTTGGGGAGGATAAGTTTGCAGGGCTGCAGGAGACCGCGGGGGAGTGGGATTGATTTAGAAAAGCTCTTTTCAAAGAACCAGCACAGACACGATGGGCCGAATGGCCTCCTTCTGTGCTGTATAATTCTATCTGCAATATTTTGCCTTCTGATTATTTTCATTGTGTTTCCTCAACATCATAAAAGCACATCATGGTTCTGACACACTAAAGGATCAGTACTGAAATAACATGATAATCTTATTGCAAAATAAATTATACAACGCATGGGTAGGGTGGATAAAGAATACAATGTACAAAATAATTAGGGTTTCCGTAGACAAATCTGTATATTCCTCATTCATTAACTTATATTCCCTCCTTTCAGGGATTTACACGTAACAACACCAAGTTTGGTCATAAAACTCTTCTTCTGCCACTGAGCAACACAGTCATCTGAGATCTTGAAGTCAACCTGGAAGGGAAATAAACAATTGCAGCAAATTTAGTTTCAGAGGTTCATGAATACAAGAAAACTAGGTTTCCTGACCAAAATCACCAGCCATGTATATGTAAAGAAGGCACTCGCCCAGCGGGAAACTCAGTACCTAGTTTTCTTGTATTCATGAAAATGTACCGAGCATGAATAGTGCATAATAGAATCAGAGAAACTTACAGCACACAAACAGGCCATTTATCTATGAATCTCTGAGGATTGAGGGGTGATCTGATTGAGGATTTTAACATAATAAAGGGATTCGATAATAGGGTAGATACAGAGAAACTACTTCCTCTGGTGGGTGAGAGAATCCAGAACAAAGAGGCATCATCTTAAAATTAGAGCTAGGCCATTTAGGAGTGAAAGGAGTTTTTCGCCCAAAGGGTCATGGAAATCTGGAACTCTTTGAACACGCTAAGTAAGGTTGGGTTTGAGGCACATTTCCAGGATAATGGAGCTTGCTTGTACATTGCATTTGACCTATGCTAATGAATTGTCAATACACCTGCTTAAAGCAAACTAATTCCATTAACCATTACCACCTTGGAGTACAAAGCAATTAATATTCCAGCCTCAACTTCTGAACGCGTTTCCTGGCAAGGTCTCTCCAATCACAATAAGCCCTGCAGCTACACCAGGCAAATGCACATTACTTATAAAATGGCTCGTGCTTTTACAGTTTCAGTATTTTGAGTTAACGGATATCAGATTGACATGTACAGCCTAGAGCTTCTGATAATTCAAATGGAAAGTCCAGAAACATACCTCTCACATTTCCAAGAGTTTCAACACTTTATGACCCTCCCCCCCCCACCCTCCCTACCCATATCTGCCTGGTTATTTGCCTGATGGTGATACTATTTTGTCTCTCCAGAAACCTAAACATACCTGTAATTTTTCAAATACTTTCTTCTTCGGTTTCAGTTCAATGTCTGGCGTATCATTCTCATACCCTTCCACAAACACTCGTTCTCCTAGCATCGAATCTTCCGGAGGGTCTAATAGTTCCACTTGGCGTTTATCTCCATCTCTGCCATTACACACACACACACACACACAGTCAATTCAATTTACCAGCAGTGCAAATCGAGAATTGAGAACATGTCAAATTTTACAGCGACAGTTTGACATTGTTTTGCTACACCATCAGATAACTTGCTAGAAGATCGCTATTTCAGTTTGTTTCTTTCTACACCCATTTTTAGAGAGAAACATGTACTATAAATGCAAATGCAAAATAAAATACAATTTGTTGTTGTAAGTTCACATGATCAAAGTTACAACAAAAGAAGTGTCATTCTCTGGGATATGCTTTCGTCCAATCTTTCCCCCTTCCACCTTCCTCTTCGACTGTGCCTATGCCTCACCTCTCCTTCCCCGATTCGGCACCGTGCTCAGCCACTGTCAAGCGCTCTGGGACTCAATCCGGCTTGAGGGGCGCAATATAAATGCAAGATGTTGTCGTTACTTACATGGATGCACAAAGCAACATGGCCTGAGACTCGATTCCTCGCATTTTCTGTGGCTTCAGGTTACACAGCATCACCGCCAATCGATTCAGCAGCTGTTCAGGGGAGACAAACTGCACCAGCCCACTGACAACTGTTCGTGGCTGTTCTTCTCCGACATCCACCTTCTCCACGTAGAGACTGTCTGCGTCAGGATGCTTTGGTCAGAAACAGAGATAAACATCAATTTATAACTTTTTCTTTTTAAAAAAAACCTACAAACTTCTAATTCTATCAAGATCCCTCCAGGACAGGATTATTACTCTACCTTCTAACCTAATCAATTGTCAGCACTCCATGAATATGGATTACAGTAAAATCTTTATCGTCTGTTAGAACTGACAAGTGGCTAATCCACTATCTTCCTCAACCGCTCCTTGTAAGCAGATGCATTACTTCCAACATAGCAGCTTAACCGGTTTACTTCCAGCATTCAGGAACAATAAATAATCCTTGCATTTGATATGGCGCCTTATCACGGCTCCGAGACAACAACACCAAAAAAATTATATTTGTAAAGCACCTTTCATGTCGGAAACGTTTCAAAGTGCTGCAGAGAATATACTATAAAGTGAATTGATTGTATATTTTGTGGGCGAAACACAAATTAAACTATCAAAGTAGAAATTGTAATAGGAATTCAAAATCAGAAATCAACTGGAAAGTGCATGACAACACATTTAACCTCGATCAAATACCTCCATCTTACCTTCTCCACACTGATAATTCTTCCAACTCGAATATCTAGTCTGGAAGGAACTAAGTCCTCATTCTCAGCAGCCGGACATTTGGGAGCCACCTCTGTAAATTGAACATCAGACAGGTTTCAGTCTTTATAAGGGAACAATCATTTTCGATTTCATTTTCTAGACTAGTGATCATTTATTTCACTGTTTAAGTGGAGTGGGGGGTTGGGGGGGGGGGAACAAACAAATGTGACACTCAAGTGACTTCACTTGACAGGCTGCGGAGTATACGAGAAATCATTTCCTTCTAACAACAAAAAGCTATATTTCACCAACCAAAAGTTCAAATCCACATTTATTAAATGTTAATCCACTGCTGTGCGCAATTGGCTGCCGCGTTTCACCCACAAATATGCAGTCAATTCACTTTACAGCATATTCTGTGAAGCGCTTTGAGACACCTAGAAGACGTGAAAAGCGCTTTATCAAATGGAAGGATTATTATTATAATAATAATAAAGTAGAACAGGTATGTTATAGTAACACCTCAGTAAGACAATGATCTCATCAAGGATTCTATTGAGTTCATGGACTACAAAAGGCAATTATGTATATTTTGTAAGCAAACTATTTATCTTCATTATAATTACCAAAGGGTAAAACCCAAATCGAATTCCAGTTTACCTTCTGTGGGATAAAGCAAAGGTTAAGGAAAGCAGAATTGGCTCACTTTGTTTTGTGGGTGCAGGATATGCAGCTCGGAGTAATTTAAGCATCTCTGGGGTCTGAAACGTCTTCCTGATGGGATCCAGCAGTTTGTTCAAGGCAACTTCCACAGAGCTCTTCAGATCCCCAGGGTGAACAAACTGGGCAGACATGATTAAAATAAAGTTACTTTACCAATCTAACACTGTTTAGTAACATATACAGCAAAGAAATTACTAACTGAACTGCTCAAATTCTTCACATTATCACTACAGAAAACATCAGGCTTCAAAGGACATCTCAGCATAATGCCCAAATCCCAAACAAAGGAGGAGCCAAATAATGTTAAAATATTCCCACAAGCTAATTTCTGCATTTAAAATGCAACCGGCAGTTGCTGATTTACGAGTTTTGACAGGCTGTGTGACAGGCTGTTTGATTGCGGGGGAATGCAGCCAAGACAACAACTTGCATTAAAAAAAACTAAATGAAAGAAAAACTAAGGAGCCATATTCGAGCAGAGCCTAAATTATATTTTGAGACGTCTCAAAGAGCTTCACAGGATATACTGTAAAGTGTAGTGACTTGTGAATATTGTCCACCGAAGGCAAATAAGCGCTACGAGACGCTTTTCCATGCGGGAAACACGGTGTTAGGTTTCCTATGAGAAGTGCAGCATAAAGTAGACACTAGTTTTTCTGTAGAGAAAGAATGCCTGACATTGTAACGGAATGGAGGACTGCAGAAATGATAGGATAGGTTTAGGATACATCATCATATTCAACACTGTTGCTTGCATGCATCAGCAATAGATTTTTTTTCAGCAAACTACAAACTCTTTTCAAACGTCTAACAATAAGTAGTAAAAGGCGGAATGTACAGGAGCAAAGCAAACGGGTGGGGGGGAAAAAAATAATTACTTCTCCAGCAAAGTCTTTTTCAAGTTCGTCATACACTGTGTAGGATTTGCTTCCTCCCCATTTCTCGTCTCTCACAACAACAAACTCTGGAAAGAAAAAGAGGACAACAAAAAGAATTGGTGTTACTGTGAGGACGAACAAATAATAAAAATGACTGACTAGAGAATGTTGAAATAAATGTCATACTGTTGTATTTTCTTTTGGTAAGCTTTTTACATCGATGGCCGGGCTTTCAGCCACTACGCTCCGAAACTCTGGAACACTCTTCCTCTATGCCTTGCCCCCCTTTCCCTCCCTATCTTCAGATCGCACCCAAAGTGCATACGGTCACTTCTCCCCTCCACCCGGCTCGGTGTGGTGCTCCGCCACTGTCAAGCGCTCTGGGACATTTACCCTGCGTGAGGGGCGCTATATAAATGCAAGTTGTCGTTGTACAAGAGAGAGAGAAAAAGAAAGAGTCCTAGCAAAACAAAGAGAAGTAAAGGGAGGGAGGGAGGGAAACACTGACAGGTACAAAATATACCACAAGCGACTTATAATTCATGAAACAGCGAAAAACAGCACCAGCAATATGATCTCGAAAATTCTAATTCCGAACACGTCAATCGCCGGAATTGTCAAGTACAGCAGTCACACACAGCAGGTTGCGACTTACATGCAATAATTCAAGGTTCAACCAAGCATAACTACAGCTTTACTTTTCCAGACAGATACCATTAAAACCCTGGGCACGTTCTTACCCAACAACCTCTCCTTCCTCCTCCTCCTCCTACTTTTTAAAATCGCAGGTTTTCAAAAGACCGAACAAATATATTTTGAAATATACTTTTGTCACTTTCCTCCTCTTGTCCCTAACTCTTCAATAGACAGCTAGCTCCGCATTTCTTCCCTCATGCAATATCTCATTTCGCTACGTTGCAAATCTAAAAATATTTTTTATGAAGATACATCCTTCATTATTTTCTCATTACCTTGGGCATATTTAAATGTTCCGAGCTCCAATTAAATGCAGCCTCTGATTAGAATCTCTGCATTAATACTACAGCCAATGGCAAAGTGATGTATTGCAACCCCAAAGCAAAATGGTTTACCGTCAACAATTCTCCAAGGGAACCTTTCATCATGTTGAAGTCCAACAGATTACCTCATAAGATTGATTCATTAAAATACCGGTGTATTGTGGATCCAATTCGCTCTGCAAGGGCCAGTCAGCTCGTTTTTTTAAGTGAACTGTGCTTGCTGGCTGGCTTTGTAAATCAACAACTTGCATTTATATTGCGCCCCTCAGGCAGGGTAGCGTCCCTGAGCACTTTAGTGTATGGTGGAATGGTTGACCTTGGGTCACTAGACTGCCGCTTGACACACGCTCAGAAACCCAAAAGGGACACTGATGGTGACCTGACAAACTGGAAGGCGGACATGAAACAAATACTTTCAACAACATTTTTATGCGCTGCTAGGAGCTATAATTTACAACTCCAAAACACGATTAGATAAATCTTACTATCCTCTTTGACTCGTGCTGGTTTAGAGTTCTGAGTTTCCATCCCCAAAACATTATAAGAATGATATTCTGTAAGACTTTGCAAGTGCGTTCCTCATTTCTCACCTCCGTGTAACGGAAACAGAACGTGTTGCACAAAAGACAAGACGCCATTGTTCTCCACATTTCCAGGTTCACAGAACGCCTTCTTCAGTTTCTTCTTTACTTCTTCCTTTTTGTCCAACAAATCAATTTTAGACTCCTAGCAAGAAAGAGCAAGAAATAATGTGAGTGCCCAAACTTGCTCCCTGTCCCTTAGATCATCCAACTCAGAAGAAATGCAGAGGCCTGCAGCCTTCTGGTTACAGAGCACTCACGGGCGGACCTATAATTCCCGGGCAGGGCAAAACCTTAGGCAATTGGCTGCCGAGTTTTGCCCACAAAATATACAACCAATTCACTGTACAGTATATCCTGTGAAGCGCTTTGAGACATCTTGAAGACGTGATAAGGCGTTATATTAAATGGAAAGATTATTATTATGGATTATTATAGAGTTAGTTAAAAAGTACCATGCAATTTACATTTATTTAGTGCCTTTCATGTTGGGAGGATGTCTCAAAGGTTAAAACAATTACAGGTTTGGAGAAGTATGCTAGGTTTTAACATACCCTTATTTACTTTGACAGTAAGTAAAACACTATTTGTGCAATGTTTAATGAAAAATAGATATCTTTACCTCTTCGGAAGAGCTCATTTTTCCACCTGTTAAACCCGGGACCATAGGATTCATTAAGTGAATACGCTTTGCATATCCAAGAGAGGGGAGACACTGAATAAGTAGAAAATAAACTAGTTAAAATTGGACCATTCATATACACATTTCTTCAAAATGGAATCTTCTCTAATGTACAAATTCAGTAGAGAAAATTAGTACAGCGCTTGTTAGTTAGTAAATAGAAAAGCACCATAAGAAATTTTGTTTTAAACAGTCATTCATGAACCTCCTTGTCAGCAGCCAATTCTAAAAGATATCAAATTTACCTTTTCTGCAAATGTGAAGATTTTCCTCTGGTCAACTCCTCCAAACTGTGCGTCAACCTTTAAATATTCTTCATCCAAAGCCTAACAGGAAATAAATCAATGAATAAACAAATGAATGAAGTGAAAAGATTATTCTGATGGCCAATAAATCCCCCAAGTAAAATTGGTCACTGATTCCATGGCTGTTTGTGGGACACTACTGTGCAGCAACTAGCTACCACATTTCGCCCACAAAATTCAGTGACGACACTTTACAGTATATCTCGTGAAGTGCTTTGAGGCATCTCAACAACGTGATAAGGCGCTACATTAAACGCAATTATATTATTATGAATTATTATTCTGCTAATAATTACATTGTACAGTTTGTACAGAAATGATTGCCACTAGAGTTCATTACCCAGTCTCTCATATTCCTACCTGTAATCCAGGGTACAGGAGACCACTGAGGAGTGGGTGCTCCACTTGCTTAACCACTTCAGCCCCAGCCTTTTTGGCATCATGTTGGGTCACTACCGAGGATAGTTTGTACACGTCCAAAGTGTACTCCCTGAAAACAACGACACACTTAATACATTTGTTTCCTAGAACTAAATAAGCTACATCCTCTGAGCATTATAAAAGCATTTCAGTCCTCCTTTTAGATAAACAGTCTAACAACAAATTACATTTGTTTAGCACCTGTCACATCGGGTGGACGTCCGAAGGCGCTGGACAGTTAAGGATTTGGACCCGAGCAGAGGTTTGGGATCAGGAGGGGTAGAAGGCAGGGGTAGAAGGGTGACCAAAGGCACAGACGAAGCTCGAGATGGGAGGGATCTAGATTTTTTTTTACCAAAAGTTTTCCTCATTTCGTGCTAAGAGTACAATTTACATTTATGTAACGCATTTCACTCGGCGCTTGCAACAAAAACTGAAATCAAAAGTATTCGTCCTTACCTGCTCAGTTGGTACTCGGTTCCCTTCACAAATTTGAGTTTTTCTAGTGGTACGTCTATACTTTCTAGCATTGCTTTGATAACATGCTCGTAGTACTGCGTCCTCAGTTCAAGCAATTCCCAGGGAGCTTTCATATTGTCCAAGTAAGCGTGCAAATCAGCAAACAGAATAGTTACCTGGGGGTTAGAGAAGGGTAAGAATGACGTACTTCTAGTCATCACAAAGAGTCGCTATTCGTGACTCAAATTTAAAAGCTTACGTACAAGACCTCACTGTCAACAGTGCAATATCCACCATTTCTACGCTAAATTCTTTTTAAACCTTTATAAATGATATACATTTATAAACGAAAAAAAAACTTTCACTCTGTATATAGATGTGATAAGGCGCTATATCAAAACATACAAGGATTATATTCAGCAGAAAAAGCAAAGCAACCTGTGAACAGACAGGTCTCACAGATGTCCTTGTTAGCTACTGCTGTTATATCATTTAGATTTTTTAAAAAAACTCACCTCACACCCAGCTTTTAGGAAATCAGCGATTTTTGACATTGGCACAAAGTACGCTACGTGAGGCTTTCCAGTGGTCGCTGTTCCCCAGTAAACCTTCAGGTCCCGTTCCTCCAGAACTGAACGCAACTTGTCCTCACCGAGAACCTCCTGCAGAAAACAAGCAAGATGAAAGCAAGTGTTTTCTCCAACTGTACAATGAATTAGCTTTTCAATTTTTCTGGGAGGGTGGGGTGAAAGTCACATCTGATAAGTCAATATAAAATTATAATAAGTCAACTTAGTGACCACGACTACTTTGGCATAATTGATAAGACCGCACCTGCAAGTTCCTGGTAATCAGGTTGATTTTCTCCTCAACATTCACGTTGTCACCCATGGTGTTGATCGTGGGTTCGACTGGAAGGGGGGGGGGGGGGGAGAAAAAAAAAAAAGGACTCAACTTTCATTCCCAGGTCTTGAGACTTTTCTCCGGTGTCAGCCTGACTCGGTAACCCTCCCCTCCGAGACAAAAGGCAACCCCCAGCACTGTATTGGGAGTCTTAAGTTTAGATTAGATGACGATTCCAAGTCCCCACATGGGGCTTGAACCCACAACCTTCTGACTCAAGAGGCGAGAGCGAGCCAGGCTGACACAGCAAAGGAAACCTGAGGCACATACAGGAGGTGGGGGAGAAGAGAGAAGATGCCTATCTACAACAACAACAACAACAACAAGATTCCATTTATAAAGCGCCTTTCACGTCAGGAGGACGTCCCAAGGCGCTGCACAGTTGGGTCATGAGATATCTAGATGTCTGACCCGCGGCGAGCTCCTCCCGGGGAGTGTTAGGCGCAGGTTGGCAGGAGTCAAGGCTTCGGGCCGAGGGGGGGAACCCCAGAGTGTGCGTTGGGGGTAACCGCTCGAGTCTTGTACCAGCTGGAACCTGGCGTAGCTTGGCCACCGGTACAATCCAGGCGCTCGGGGACGCCAACCCCGGGGTGTGCGGCGCCTTTTCAGGTCGCGGGGGCGTCCCGAGGCGCCGGGCGGGCGGGGACTTGGCCGCTCCGCAAACGCAAGCTGTTGGCGGCGGCGCGGCGGCGGCTTTTGCCCACAGCGCCGTGACGGTGAGCTTTCCCGCTGCTTGTCCACGGCTCGGACCACCCCGGGACTTCAGTGAGAGCTGCAGCTTGGGCAACAACAACAACAACAACCACCACAAACAACAACATTACTACAGCGTCCCTCCCGCGGGATAGCGTCTCAGAGCGCCGGCCTCCCGAGACCCTCCCCACCAACTGCCAGGGCTCGGGCCTGTCCAGCTAGGCCCCCACCCCGCGCCTTTGGTGGTGGGGGTGGGGGGGGGGAGGATTCCCTGCGCCCCAGTGACTGCTCGGCCTCTCCCCCAGGCCCGGGGCTGTGCCGTCAGCAGCAGTGAGAGCCGCCCCGTCCCGCCTGGCTCAGGGGCCTGACTGACACCGGCCTGGGGGGCGGGGGGGGGGGGGCTGGGCCTGGAGTTTGCGGGGCCTCACCTCGTAAACCCCCGGAGTCAGCGACGGCAGCGCTCGCGCTCCTCCGCCTCTTGCATCAGCCTTCGCGCCACTCGGACTCGATCGTTCGGCCGTCCGCTTCGCGCACTGCGCACCGCGCTCGCTCGCTCGCTCGGCCGTCCGTCAGTCAGTCAGTCCTCCAGCCAGTCCGCCAGGCCGCGCTGCAGAGCGACACTCAAATCGTTTCATCGATCGCTCCTCACTCGCTCGCTCGCTCACTCACTCACTGCGCACGCGCGCGCGCGCGTCCCCTTACTATTGCTCTCTCTCCCGCCATTCATTCATTCATTCATTCATGCGTGGCAACTGTTTGTCACGTGTTACATCAGGGATACATCGGGCAGCACGTGGTGTCCTGTCCTGGTGCTGTGCTGATGATCATCTTAATATTCATATTATTATTATTTATAAGGATTTGGTCACTCACTGTCTCCGCAGTGGGACGGACGCTTCACAGAATACACCGTGAACTGGAGTGACCGTATATTTTGTGGTCGAAACAATTGCGCGCAGACGTTCCTTTGCAAGCGAAATGTATATTTGCGAATGCTACGCTAATGCTGTGCGGTTTTCTTATTGCAGCATGTTTATAATAATAATAATAATAATAATAATCCTTGCATTTGATATAGCGCTTTTCACATCGGGAGGATGTCCCAAAGCGCTTCACAGAACACACTGTAAAGTGAATTGACTGTATGTTTGTGGGCGAACGTGGCGGCCAATTGCGCACAGCAATGTCCCACAAACAGTCGTGGGTTGAAAATGACCAATTTATTATTGTTTTTGGTTTTGGAGGGATTATTATTAGGCTCTGTGTGGAGTAAGGAAACTTGCCCAAGGTTTCGCCCTCTGCCTGGGATTGAACTTGCAAAGCGAGTGCTCTAACCACTGAGCTACAGGACTCCAAATATTTTGTGTCAACTCACCACACACTTATAATAATCATAATAATAATAATAATGATCCTTGTGTTAACTTTAGGAGTCAAATACTGTACTGAATTCAACCGAGCAGTGAGAGACTTTGATGGTGAAGTTAGGCTAACACTCCCTCCACATCGCTTCAGCTGTAGAATAATTCCAGTCTGACTATAGTTGATTTTAAAAATAACTTTAAAGAAAAGACAAAAAGTCACACTGTTTTCTCAGGAAATCTTTATTTGACATAGCAATACAATCAAGTATTTTAGTTTTCAAAGAAGAGCCTGTTTTTTTTCAATCCAAATAAAATAAGAGTGCATTTTACCAGTTACTATTACAGTGCATATAATGAGTATTTACAAAAAGACAACCTAATCTAGATTAGAAAATGATGCACTATAGAGTCAACACAAATACTTGAAACTCATATGGGATGTTGGAATGTTTCTTCTAGTTGGAATTGTCATATTGATATCCGACGCAGCAATAGATAGAAATGCACCATGTGTACTTGAAAACTTTTTAGGTGAGAGTTTTGTGAACATTATTGCAGAAGCCAGTGAATGTATGGGTTTGCCTTTGCTTATAGTTCAGTATGCGTATTTGGAGTTGAGGTTCAGATCAGCCATGATCTTATTGAATGGCGGAGCAGGCTCGAGGGGCTGAATGGCCTCCTCCTGTTCCTATGTTCCTATATATAAATGTGATTATAGAAATGTTAACTAATCCATAGAAATACTTCCAAGTTTTCAGTTGCCATTTCAGCTGTGGATGGTAGGTATCTGAACAGTTTCATTTACACACTTTAACATTATTTAAACAATATGCCAGTGCACCATGTTTTTCGTCATAATAGGAACATAGAAATGTACTATAATAACAATAGTAATTCACTTCAAAAGAAGCATTATGCTTGTTAAGTGGGAGATCTTATGATAGGCTATAATGTGTCTAAGCAATGTAATAGCCTGTTTAAGGATCTATAACCAAACTTTCTTTCACTGTCCAAGTTTGATTTAGCTGCCATCAAATCGCTGAATCTCTTGTTCTGATTCTGAAAGCTTTCTGGCAGCAGTAATCAACAACAATGACAACAACTTGCTTTTACAAGGCGCCCCTCACACAGGTAGCGCCCCAGAGAGCTTGACACCAAGCCGAGGGAAGGGGGGAGGTAACCGTAGGCAAGGCCGAAGAGGAATGTTTTCAGGCGCGATCTGAAAATAGGGAGGGAAGGAAGGGACAAGGCAGAGGGATAGAGGAAGAGTGGTCCATACTCATCATAGTCTTTGATAATGGGCAGAGTGACATGAATAGGCACCAGAATTGCTGGAAAATGCACCAAAGAGTGATCCCCAGAAAACATGTTTTATTAAACAGGCCATTTCAGTAAAACCGTTGCGAAACATCCAATCAATGCAAAATACTGTGTATGTACGTATAATTGCAATATTTATTTTGTACTATGCTGTTTAGTTTCCAGCTTTCTTGTAGTCAGTGTAACTTTTGCTACATGTTAATCTGAAATTTCCATTTCAAGAAAGGTGTAGTGGTGATTAATAATAATAATAACAACAATAATAATAATAATAATCCTTGCATTTGATATAGCTCCTTTTCACGTGTTCGAGCCGTCCCAAAGCGCTTCGTAGAATATACTGTAAAGTGTAGTGACTGTGTGTTTTGTGGGCAAAATGCAACAGCCAATTGCGCACAGCGACGTCCCACAAACAGTCGTGGATTGAATGACCAAATTATTATAACATTCTACAACGCATTAAATCCTCACTCAGTACACAGTGCACACAGTTGTCTGAATTTACAATGGAGCCCCACTGACTACGTATTGCACTTGAAAAGATATGATTATTAGAATAATAAGTAGAATACAACTTGCAATATGGTAACTGAATGGGGTCGACAGTATAAAGGTGGACACCAGGAAATGTATCCTTACGGTAAAACATCATTCAAAATTAGGCACAAGAAGTTACAAGTATCATCTGCATCGGAGTGAAGTTTCATTTCATTACAAATGAAACAGGTTTTACCGTGAGAATCACTGATATAGAAGCAATAGTTCCACATTAATTCCATTTCACCATAAGCTGAAGACTTGTGCAGTCGCTGGGGGACATCTGAAGTTTGGCTGTGGTACTTTATCGGTCACTCATCAATCACCCAGAGGCTGACATTTTAAGACTTTGTTTCTTTAATACTGGAAAGCTGCAGCAACATATAATAACACTTGTGCTTTTTTTTTTACTTCCAGTGAAAACTCCGTTCCTCCTGATAAGTTTACGACTACGGCTAGATAGATATCCGCTAGTGCAAGTCGATCAATGTTATGTGGGGCAGAGTAGGAACCCTGAGAAGGAAGAGTGGATGTATTCAGTGGAATATAATCCATTTGCCTGGTCTGAAGGCATCTGCACCCAAACCTGGTCATTTTCTCTAAGTTCCAGCACAGCACTTCCCGATGCCTGATCGAGGAACCCTTTCTTGTATTCGTCATATGTGTATGTTGCCGGCACGTTATTCTTATACAGAGCCACCCAGATGTTGGTCCCCTTGACGTGCACGTGGTAAGCAAAGTAGTAGATGCCTGGTATTTTACACGTGAACAATCCTGTCACCGGGTTGTAGCCATTCTGCCCATTGTACAAAATCCTGTCGAACATGATGGGTGACCCTGAGGGTGGGAAGGGTTTGGACAGGATTGCTGTGAAAGCAGGAGCTGCTTGGCCAGTGAGGTCTCCTCTCCCGTAGTAAAATTTCCCAGGTTTCCTATCTTCCGGGATAGTTGCTCCGTCCACGGTTCCGTCCAGACTAGCTATTCCCGTGACCGCCCCGTTAATGAAGGTCCCTGGGAGACCTGGGGGCCCCGGGGGGCCGGGAGGACCCTGAACCCCCGGCATGCCTTTGACCCCGGCTATCCCAGGGTTTCCCATCGGTCCTTTAATTCCGGGTGGACCTAACCTCCGTTCTCCAGGGAGCCCTGGGGGGCCTGGTTCTCCTTTAGGTCCCGGTAACCCTATGTGTCCTGTGGGCCCCACTGGGCCCTGGAGTCCCGGAATTCCAGACGAGCCCCTCGGGCCGGTTTGCCCTGAATATCCAGGATCTCCTTTAGGTCCAACAGGTCCAACCAAACCCGATACCCCGGGAAGCCCTGTCAGTCCAGCTTCTCCTTTGGGGCCCATTGATCCCGAGGGACCTTGAGATCCTGGTAACCCTCTCTCGCCAGGGACCCCGGGTTTCCCATTGAGCCCGTTATGTCCTTGGTTCCCAGGAATTCCCTTAGGTCCTATTGGCCCAACGGGTCCAATATCACCTTTAAGTCCAGGAAAGCCATGTTTGCCCATGTGTCCCTGGGGCCCACCATGTCCTGGGAGCCCCCTCTCTCCGTGAGGACCGGGCGGGCCAGCTATGCCATTTAATCCCAAATCGCCTTTGATTCCTGGTGGCCCTGGGATGCCGGGAGGTCCTTGCTGACCTTTGAATCCATTAATTCCCGGCTTTGCATATCCTCGGGGTCCGGGAGCACCAGGGGGACCTCGTATTCCAGGTTCACCTTTCTGCCCCAACCCGCCCGGAATCCCTGGTAATCCATTTTGACCTGGTCTCCCGATACCATCCAGGCCAGGCTTTCCCAGGGGTCCCTCAGGCCCAGGGGGGCCGGACGGGCCGGGCTCCCCCCTACGTCCCACTTCCGCCTTTGCACCAGGAAAGCCAGGTAATCCGTTAATCCCAGGTTTTCCTGCCCCAGGTAGCCCAGGGGGGCCGAGTTTTCCTTGAGGTCCTTCTTTCCCACGCGGACCGGGAATGCCGGGCTTCCCATACCCCGGCTCACCTTTAGGACCAACTGCCCCAGGAATTCCGGCTTTTCCTTTTTCTCCCGGTTCTCCTTTGAACCCTGGGGCTCCAACGCGTCCTGGTGGTCCTATTTTACCGTTGACAGAAAAGCCTGAAGGTCCAGGAACCCCGGGAGGGCCTGACATGCCCCTGGGTCCTGGCTCTCCTCTAATTCCTGTGTCTCCCTTGGTTCCAGGAATTCCTTTGCCTCCTTCTTTACCCGGGATTCCCGGCATTCCCGGCTTTCCAAACCTAGTGAAGCCCGGTGGCCCGGAAGGGCCAATCCGACCTTGCGTTCCCGGTTTCCCGATCCCCGGTTTTCCTGGTTTTCCAGGAGCTCCAGGAGGGCCCATCGGTCCCGGAATTCCCGGAACACCCTTGTCACCCTTGAGCTCCGAAGGGAGAATCACTGGGATTTCTGTTGTGATAAAACATCAACAAAAAGACAAATCAGTCACCAGCGATTATCTCAACAACTCAAACAGAAATCTCTCTGTTTTTAGACATAGGAACATAAGAATTAGGAGCAGGAGTAGGCCATTCAGCCCCTCTCGCCTGTGCCCTGCCATTCAATAAGATCATGGCTGATCTATTCTAACCCCACCTACCCGTCTTATCCCCATATCCTTATAATTCCTTTATCTACAAGAAATCTATCAATCTCAGTTTGGAATATGTTCAAGGACTGAGCATCTTCAGTCCTTTAGGGTAGAGAATTCCATAAATTTACTGCCCTCTGAGTGAAGAAGTTTTTCCTTAACTCAGTGCGAAAGAGCTGTATTATTATTAATATAATAATAATAATGCTTGTGTTTGATACAGCGCCTTATCACAACGTCGAGACGTCTCAAAGCTCTTCATAGTATATACTGTAAAGTGAATTGACTGTGTACTTTGTGGGCGAAACACGGCAGCCAATTGCGACAGCAGCGTCCCCACAAACAGTCGTGGATTGAGTGACCAGATTATTTTTTCGTTAACTACCCTTTACCAAAATCAATGAGTGAAAGCGCTCGGCGCAGACAGGAAAGTGTTACAGCTCCTTTTATCGGAGGAAGTGGTCTGTCGTGGCAACATGGAGTCTCAAAACACTATTGAACCAAAGCTTGCCATCACTGAATGAGAACCAGATCTGTTCTGAGGCACTGCTCATGTCACCGCTTTCCTGAACTCCAGGTGTCTGCTGTAACCCTCTCTACTCATGACGTCCTTTGTATGAAATTATTTCAACGTGTCCTCATTCATAAAGGGAAACACCTTTGGTTCCTCCTTCAATCAGTTTAGTCTGTCCCTCCCTCTTACCCATTGTCGATATGTGAACCGTGTGTGTGTGTGTGTCAGAATGTTAGGCTCTTCCATTTCGATTTATTCTGCACTTTAGTCAGCTTCACAACCGTGCCTTGGGACGTCCTCCCAACGTAAAAGGCCCTATATGAATGCAATTTGTTGTGATTGTTATAATAATAATAATATGCCTTGCATTTGAAATAGCGCCTTATCACGTCTTCGAGACATCTCAAAGCGCCACAGACTATACATACATGACTAATGTGCGATTAACTAAAAATCCTTCGTTACAGGACACAAAACTGAAATTATTCCATAAACCGCAAGAGTGAAAGTCCCCTCATTTAAAGTTTGGCTAAAATCCTAAGATTGCATTACAAATTCCAAACACACCCTGTGTCATCTGTTTCCCATATCCCATACAGTAAAATATCATGTAGCGATGACAATGGAATGTGCATCCTATGGGAACTCGGAGACTTGGAGAGAAGAGGTAGAACAATTTGATAGCCGCTCTGCCCGTGCAAAATGCTGGATAAATGACTTAATAACAATAATCCTCACATTTGATATAACGCCTTAACACGACATTGAGACGTCTCAAAGTGCTTCACAGAATATACTGTGTATTTTGTGGGTGAAACGCGGCAGCCAATCAAGCACAGCAGCGTCCCCACAAACAGTCGTGGATTGAGTGACCAGATTACTACTGTATTTTTTTTTTAATTTTGAAGGGATTTTTACCCTGGGAATAGCGATCCGCCAATCGACTAACAACCGTCAGGTAAACAGAGCCGCGTGAAGTAAGGAAACTTGTCCAACGTTTCGCCCCGACCTGCCCGGGAATCGAACCCAGGTCCTCTCGCTTGCGAGGCGAGGGCTCTAACCACTGAGCTACAGCACCAAGACAGCCTGGCCTGCCCTCACAAGTTGGGCTCCTTTGGTCCGAAGGGCATTGACCCTGCCCAGTGTACAGATATTGCGTTGTATGTCTAGTTCACACTGAGACAGACACTCATGAAGCAAACTGTCCCAGATGTGAGTGAACTGTCAGTTTTTATTCCCCCATGTGCTCCACAAATCTATTCAGTGTGTGAGTGAGTGTGTGAGTGAGTGTGTGAGCCCAACAGCTCTGTATAACAGGCTGCGGAAAGAATTCCATAAAAAGACGTAATAGTTGAAAGCAAATATTTGTAATTCCTGCATCAATTACGGATTTAACAATGTACTTAACATGTTTTTATAAAACACATACATTAATAATTTAAAGCAAATTCCTTGGGAGAAGGGAGGGAGGGAGGGGGGGCAATTCCTGAGACATGAGCAGATATTTGTGGCAAACAGAGCAGGAAGAGGTGACAAACAAATTTTATTACAGGACTTTGTTTTATTTCCCACAAGGATATTTGTGGCTTTGTAAATTTGCCTAATTCTGTATTGCTGCTTCAGGAAAGACAGGAAATTGTGTTTGAGATGTTAGACAATCAAAAAACAACAAAGATGTGCAGACTTTCAAAGCTGCAAAAGGACATTTATTATTGCAGAGGTCTGTCTATATTTAGCCCACGAACCAGTTTGATTTTGAGGATGAATGATCTGTAGGTTGGAATATAAATGACTGTTTGTTTTATGGAACAATGCTCAATGGAACAAAACACAAGTGGCGCTGTGACTCTGAAAAGTCACCCATGGAAAGTATTTAAAGATGGATAAATACTTTAGGATCCTCTTTCATTATCTCTGATCTTGGCTTCAGTAATAAATGAGGCAGAATTGTGTTTCGGGAAGTTATTAAATGAACGAGTTTGAGTCCAGGTTAAGATCGAATGGATCTGATACATACGGTAGAACTCAAAAGTTCTTTTCTCATTCTCTCTCTCGCTAGTGTTTTCCTTTAAAGGATCCGTAGCCAAACTAATGCGGACTAATCCCTTCTCTTGACACATGGTAGTAAGCATCTCTGATCAACACTAACAGGAACCAAACATGATGACGTTACCACATAAGCACGACAGATGTTAGTGTTGGAATATGTCAGAGGATGTTTACCAAAACTCTTCCTTTTCTCCTTCCGATTAAATTCCTTTGTTGGGGCTGTTTGCTGTTGTGTGTAAGTGGTTGTAGATGAATGTTTATTTTTAATGCTGGTCTCTGTACTGTCTTGTATGACATCGCTGTCAGCCGGACAGGAAACCCTAAGTGCTTTGGCTTATCATGCGGAACCCTTGGTCTGTCTCCCCAGCAATGTGATATGGTTCGAGCAGACACAGCCCGTTCCATCAGTCAGTGAAATCAGTTTAGTCGTGAGACGCCTCGATGACGTGATAAGGCGCTATATCTTATTATTATTATTGTTATTATTATACAGCGACCTTCACTCATTTCACATTGTCAGAGGTTGACATCAGGCCGGAGAGAGAGGAGAGAGCTGATCATGGTTAAAGAGGAAGGTCTGTCAATGTGGTTTGGTCACTCAATCAACGATTGTTTGTGAAACACAGCTGTGCGTAATTCACTGCCGCATTTTGCTCACAAATTACACCAATCAATCCTTTAAGACGTCTCAATGACGCGATGAGGCGCTACATCAAATCCATGTTGTTGTTCATAAACTGGAGCAAGATAAATAATGTTAAGTTTTCATGGATTCTTAAGTGGCCTGTATTTATTTTATATCCTGAACTACTTCACAGTATAATGGTGTTAACAATGTCATTTTCTGCAACAGTGGATATTAAAATTAAACACATGTTAACGTTGAAAAGGTTTGTTGAACACAAGCCAGACGCTTTCAGAAACTCACTCATTCCTAAAGAGAGAGTGAGTGAGTGAGTGAGTAAGAGGGCGGGCGGGCGGGCGGGCAAGCGACTGAGTGAGTTACTCGGTATAAAATGCCATTGTGATTTCAACCCATTTGCCATTGATAAACATAAATATAAAGTCTGTGTCCACAAAACATCTGTAGAACGAGGATCCCCAGCTGTTGGGAGACAGACGTGCCTGTGTATGGAGGTCAGATGAGGACAGGGATGGGCTGAGCTGTGACAACCCACGCTAGGATAGCTTCCCAGCACTTGCTGCGATGACTCACTGCGCTAACTGAAGCAAAGTCACCTCGGCCAGAAAGTGGAGGGAGATTGGCACCTTACAGCGAGGGTAATGTCTTCGAGATGAGGAGAGGACATTTTTTAAGCCCTATGGCTCGTTTCGTGCCGTGCATAATTGGCTGCTGCATTTCGCCCTCAAAATAGACAGTCACTGCACTTTACAGTATATCCTGTGAAGCGCCTTTCAGACATTTCAATAGCGTGATAAGGCTCTGCATCAAATGCAAGGATTAATATTATTATTCAATATTTTAGTGAAACAAAACCATCTAACTCATGGCTATAACCACACAAGCTGCAGCTTTATAGCAGAAATATTTACTGAGGTCATTCTGTGAAATGAAAGATGATGTTTTCAATTGAAAAAAAAATCATAAACATATTTACTACCACCTTCAGTGGGTGGATTTGAAAAAAATAAAGTTTTTCCTCCAGTGGGAACATGTGGGACTAAATGAGGTTCCTCATTCTTATCTGGAAAGGGAAAAGCCCTAACTAGATAAAACCTTTAGTTAAATAATAATAATAATAATCGTTGCATTCGATATAACGCCTGATCACGTCTTCGAGACGTCTCAAAGTGTTTCATAGAATAAAGCGTGAAGGGAATTGACTGTATATTTTGCGGGCGAAACGTGCAAAAAACAAATATATATATGTATATATAACAAAAAAAACTTTATTAACCATTCGTTAAATAACCAAAAAAAACAGGGTAAAGCATATTTGGGGAAAAAAACATTTATTAAGCATGACTAACTCTGGGCAATGTTGGAACTTCCATATAAGAACAGAATAAAACATTCACCACAAGTATGTGTCTGTCTGTGGCTGATGTTTTGTGTGGGACCGGCATTCTGTGAACATGTTCGCTCTCGTCCACTAGACGGCAGCATCAGTACAGCTGGTTAGGCAACTAACGCTGCCTTTTACTCGGGCTGTGAGGAGATTGTTTTGTCTTGGATTTTAAGATTGCACAGAACTGGTGTGTGAATTTGGTCACTCAATCGATGCCTGTGCGTGGGGCGCTGCTGTGCGTAATTGGCTGCCGCGTTTCGCCCACACAATGTGCAGTCATTTCACTTTACAGTAATTTCATGTCATAAGGACATAAGAATATATCAAATGCAAGGATTATTATTATTATTATAATAACATAAGAATTCACTAGACGAACGAAGACCAAGGTCCATCCAGTTTGCCTTCCACCATCCTGGCAGTTGCTTGCAAGTCATGTCCCAAACTGTCCACTATATCCCCGAGATATAATTTCCTGAAAGAAATCCATCTAATTGCTTTTGTCATTGAAAACCTCTTCACTGTTGGGGTAATTTTGTTGGAACAGTACTGGGCTTGTGAGCTCATAGCCCTTCACACACTACCTTTCCTTTCTGCTTTGCAGAACATCTGTAAGTATGTAAGTGTGGGATGATACATTAGACACAAGGGGCCTGAACATGGCAATCGTGTGAAATTACATCAGCAAATGCTTAACAACCAAGTGTTTAAAGATCCCTGTTAAACACTGCCCCTGAATCTGTCTAATGTTCGTTTCCTCAAAGTGTCCAGAAAAACAGGAACAGAGCAAGTCATTCTGCCAACTCTGTCGGTTTTGAATCTAATTTCCCTGCTCTTTCTCCAGAAAAGACCCCTCGCTTCCCAAGTATCTCCGCATCTCCCCCTGACACGCCTCAGTCAACATCACCCATTTCTAAATAGTTGTTCATAAAAATACTCATGGCCATGTGGGGAGGGAGGGAGGGAGGGAGACAGATTTAATTGCACAGGTTAATTGCTTTGTGAAATTATATTCTCTCAATTTCCTTAATCTATGAGAGCAGAACTCAAGCCCACATTAGCAGCTAGGCAGGGTGTTTTCATAACCAAACAATATAAAATGATACGTAGTCTGGAGTTCAGCTCCATAAACCACTGAGGGTCTTCAAAGCAGTGAAATGGTTCTTAGTATCATAAACACAGGTGGTTTGGTGAAGCAGAGAGCGGTACTTTATATGAGCCCCTTTGCTTATTCTTTTATCTGAACCGAATGCCGTTCAATCTTGATCAACACTTTAATGGCCAAACGAATGTTATACTTGGATCAGGATTGCAATATAATGGAAGTCAATGGGAATAGTAATAGTAAAGGCAGAACTATGCTCCACAGACACAGATAAGGGATAAGTTTGCCAGACTTGGCGAGGCTGCTGTTTGGGCTCCAGGCAAGCTATTGGATTTTATTATGTTAAAGTGTAATTACAGTGACTAACTGGAAATCATTGCGACTGAGAGCTGGTGCTTCTCTCTGGAGGAGAAAGGATTTTGTTTTTTCGCACATGCAGAAACCATTGATAACCCCCAGCAGGTTTGTACATATCACTCGCAAAAGAAACAAAAAATAGCAACCGGATTGAAATCCGACCACCGGATACAGTCAGGTGATGAATCAGACACGTATCATTCCCTTTCCCTGCATCTGCTCAGATCCCAGCAGTTTATCATCCCATTCCTGTTTTCCATACTTCTACTTCCTGGCACTTCATCCACCAGTTCAAGCCAATTTTCTCTCAAGCCTCAACCCCAGTCAGAGCCTGACTCTGGGTGCTTTCTGTGGAGCTTTGATTCATAAAATCATAGAATCCACGGTACTATGGGAGGCCGTTTGGCTCATTAAGTTAAACTGTGCGTTAATTCACTCATTAGATCAAACAACTGCAAACCCATCTCAGTCTCTAGTTTGAGTCGTGACATGTCAAGCGACTGCCAGGATGGTGGAAGGCAAACTGGATGGACCTCGGTCTTTTTTCGTCCAGCAATTCGTATGTTCTTATTTCCCTCCCCCTTCCTTCCTTCAACCTTAATAATAATACTAATCCTTGCATTTGAAATAGCAGTTTATCACGTTATGCAGTAAAATGCAACTCTCCTCCCTCCCCTCCCCAAATAACCAAACAAGACTGAACTCCAAACCCAGATGCCAGAACAAGGTATATTCTGAATAAATACACAGTCATTACATTTTACAGTATATCCTGCGAAGCTCTTGAGACGTCTCGAAGACGTGACAAGGCGCTGTATGAAATGTAAGGATTATTATTATTATTAATCCCTCATTCTAGTTCATGTCCCAAGTGAGACGAGAACATAAATGTCCAATTACACATGTATTACAGAAGCAGAGAAGCTTACACTCCCCTTTGGACTTGGGGTCTATGACAGCTGACCCCTGCACTCAGATCTGCTTGTTTAATCTGCAATAACTGTTGTTTAGCAACACTCCCTAAGTAGATGTACTCTCAGATCAATGGCAAGTCAGACATTCCATCTATTCAGCTATTTGATCTGTATTTTTGTTCTTTCCCGATGCAATTGAAGGGGGTATAAATTCAGAACAAATCTGTGGAAACAGTACTTCAGTGAGCGAGTGGTAAACATATGGAACAGGCTCCCTCACTAGCTATCTAGCTATCTCGCTAGTTGTTTGGTTGGTTGGTTGGTTGGTTAGTTAGTTAGTTACCTGTTGCAAGATGTTGAAGAGAGCCCTTTGGAGGGTTGGGGTTAAAGGTTCAAGTGGGCCCATTGGGAGTGTTTGAAACATGAGGTGAAAGTTAAGTGCTTTGGTTGGCTTGAAGGTTCGTTGTTGCCACACTTTCAGCCACTACTCCCTGAATCTTTGGAACACTCCACCACCGCCCCCCCCCAATCCCTCCATCTTGCCCCGTCCTTCCCCTCTTTTAAATCACGACTGGAGACCAATAAATTTCCAACCCAGATTCACATGACTGCAGAAAGCACAGCACAAAGACGTTATAAAATCACTTGAATTTGATTCACCATTAAACAGAATATCTACACGCTCAGCCATCAGATCCTTTTACATTTTGTTTATTTTTCCAGTGAAAACCGAGCGAACAAACACCCCTGAAGAAATGGGGGAGAGATGATGACAGAGTTTAATGTGCACCTGGATGCCTCTTACCTATATACTGCCCTTTGCCTTCTCTGAATGGGGGTCCAGGTGGTCCTTTAACCATCGGGTGGATGTATTTTGCTTGAGCATAACCTCCGCTGAGCACAGAGCCAATTCTGGCCATCAACAACACAACACAAACCTCCACGTTTAACATGGTCCTCACCTGCCGATCTGTGGGAGAGGTGGGAAAGGGATCGTTAGAGAAACGTGGAAGGAATTCACACACTCCGACCGCACCACGGAAATCCAAACTCAATTTGGTCACTGCATCCACCACTGTTTGTGGGGAAACTTCTGTGCGCACTTGGCTGCCCCATTTCGCCCGCAACATACACAGTCGCTACACTTTACGGTATATTTCTGCGAAGCGCTTTGCGAAACGTCTCGAAGATACGATAAGGCGCTACATCAAAAGCAAAGGCTTATAATTATTATTATTATTCATTGCAGCACAACACAAAGCCACAATGCCTGAGAGCCAAAGCTTTCAGAAGATTAGGCGTAGAATGTTCCGGACAAACCACAAAGTTAATTGGTACACATGTTCCTGCATTTTTTGGGGGGTAAAAAAAGAAAACAAGTTGATTTATGATTCTCAGCCTGTGCCTTTGTTGTGCCTCCAATTACAAGCTGTTATTATCCAAATTCCCCTAGTCCTGACTGACAGATGTATTAATGTGGCTCGGTTAACATTAATGTGGCTCGGTTAACATTAATGTGGCTCGGTTAACATTAATGTGGCTCGGTTAACAATAATGTGGCTCGGTTAACATTAATGTGGCCAGGTTAACATTAATGTGGCTCGGTTAACATTAATGTGGCTCGGTTAACATTAATGTGGCTCGGTTAACATTAATGTGGCCAGGTTAACCAACAATAAGCTTAATTATGCCTCTCGCTATTTATGGGTTTATGGGTTTGTACAAAGTAACAAAATGCACATGTACATGGTCTCCTCACTTAACCCTGACAAATGTTCAACCCCAAGTTAACATTTTTCTTACTTTGTGGACCATATCCCTTTCGGTTTATCTCGAACCATCGGTGCTTGTTCTTAAGTTACCGGGAGATCCAATGTTTCGCTCAGAGACGATAAGCCGAACTGAGCTTAGATTTACAATCCTCATTGCTATTTTATGAGTGCAACATGATTGCAAAGATTCAAATAGATTTGCGTCGATTTATATAGGATTTACAGCGAGGAAACAGGCCATTCGGCCCAACCAGTCTATGCCGGTGTTCATACAAAATACACAGTCACTACACTTTGTGGAATATTGTGTGAAGCGCTTTGAGACATCTCAATAATGTGATGAGGCGCTGTATCAAATGCAAGGGCTATTATTACTACATTGCGTATGTAGCAATTCACTGTAATTCAAAGCACCACATTGAGTGTAAGTTACATTTATGAGCTGTTCTGTAGGATTCTCGTTTCAAACGATTTGCTGAGAGAGAAGCAGTTCACGGCTGTAATACACCACAGTGTAGATCTGCAGCTGTCAGTGGGCGGAGACCTCATACTCAGGCCTCGAAAGCAACTGAGAATTATTCAACCGAATGTCAACGGGGACAACGTTCTACTGAGCTGTGCGCAATTGTCTTGCCGCGTGTCGCCCACAGAACGCGCAGTCGCTACACTTTACAGTCTCTTCTGTGAAGCGCTTTGAGGCTTCTCGAAGACGTGATAAGGCGCTGTATCGAATGCAAGGATTATTATTATTATTATCTTAAATTAGAAACTTAATGCCAGTCCTCGCAGGCAAATCTCTTTCCTCTTTCCTTATTTGATTATCTGTTTGATTATTTTATTATTATCCCCGCGGGTGTTTGTGGGGTCCTGCTGTGCCCGGTTTGGCTGCCGCATTCCTCCCACGGGGCACACGATCGCTACCCTTTACATCTTCAAGACGTCACCAAGCGCTTCACGGAATATATTGTAAAGTGTGGTGACTGTGTATTATGTGGGCGAAACATGGCAGTAAGCGGAATTCTTCCCGAAAAGCACAGAACTCCAGAATGGATCGGACTGAGCTCCGCCTTGCGTGTGAACAATTTCCTACTGATACGAATCTCAAGAAACTTTCAGCAACTGAAAATATTCTGAAAAGTCCGCAGCATGTCTGGGACAAGGTTACTTCTGATTACGCCGAATGAAAACAATTCAAAATCAACTGTAATGTTATTTCTGCAGCTGGGAAGGATCCAAAGCCTTTTCCTCACGGGCTCGTTTGTAGGAAAGAGGGGAAAGGGAATTTCTCCCCAAATGTTTCCTCAGGATGTGAAACGTTCTTTCCGTCCACCCTTGTGAAGACAGGTTTATGGCTAGTTCACAACGGTTCTCTTAATTAGCCTTTGGCTCGCGGGCATTGTGGCTTTATCTTGTGCAATGAATAATAATATTCCTTACATTTGATACAGCGCCTTATCACGTCTTCGAGGCGTCAAAGTTCTTCATAAGATGCACCGTAAAGTGAATTAGCTGTGTATTTTGTGGATGAAACGCGGCAGCCAATTGTGCACAGCGGCGTTCCCACAAAAAGCCGTGGATTGAAGTGACCAAATTGTTAGTATTTATTTATTTTGAAGGGATTATTACCCCCGGAAAAGCAATCCACCAATCGACTAGCAACCCGGTTCCTATTTACTGCTGGGTGAACAGAGGCGCGTGTGTGGAGTAAGGAAACTTGCCTAAGGTTTTGCCCTGCCCCGGAATCAAACACACAAAATACACAGTCACTACACTTTACAATATCTCCTGTGAAGCGCTTTGAAATGTCTCGAAGACGTGATGAGGCGCTATATCAAATGTAAGAATTATTTTTTATTATTAATAATATTATTATTATTATTATAGCCATCCGTCAGCAGCCTAAAGGTTGGACCACCCTGAGTGTAGAAGATTGTAGTCAGAGCAGTGGCTCAGTGCACCGTGACATCACCCAACCATTTCATTGAAAATATATTTGGAACCAGAAGAAAAGAACATTGAAAATAATCCCACTGAAGGTTTTGGGCTTTAGCTGCCCAGACCTTTTGGGTGTCAATGGTTTGAAACATTCCTCCCAGCACAGTGATTAACAGGAACCTTCCATTTCCAGGCAAACTGCTGAACCCAAATGGATTGGGTTGTTAACAGATTGTGACTTAATTTAACAGTGATTAACATTTCGCTTTCCCTCTGCGGACTTTGGAACCCTTCGGAACTCCATCCCATAGTCCCTTCCCCTCGCTCCCTCCCTCACCTCCTTCAAGGCCCGTCTCAAGACCCTCCTCTTCGACAGCGCCTTCTGCTATTCTCCCACCCCCACCCTCCCCGCCCTCCACCCCCTCCTGATCCCAACCCCCAGCTCGGGTCCAAATCCCTGACCGTCCAGCGCCTTGGGACGTCCTCCTGACGTGAAAGGCGCTGCGTAAATGTCATGTGCTGTTGTTGTTGTTTACTGCGGGTGGTTGAAATCTTCGCCCGACAAATCGATGGAAATTCCAAGCGTAGAAAGAAACACACGCACCCACAAAGGCCGAGCACGACAGAACATGGATGTTGCAGCGCGGGGAAGGAAGCTAGACGGACACGACGCACAGCGCGGTCTTTGCAATCTTCACGGGGGAGAAAAAGTGGAAAATTTGAATCTCATATTATTTTTGGACAAAAGGCAGCAATGAGCTTCAGTTACCCTCAGCGCTGAGGACGTGTCAAGGAGTTTATTTTTACTTTACCATTTAAAAACAGCCGAGGCAGGTCGAGATAGTGGGAACATGATATAGTGGCCCTTTTTCCTGGAAATAATTTTTTTTTGTTATCCGGACTGTAAGCTTCTCGAAGCTGGCTATGGTCTGCTAAACGTAACCGGCTGTGACACATTCTTGAAACAACAACAGGAAGAATTATACCGTACATCCCACAAGAACAATATTTTAAACAGGACTTCTGAGTACTTAGTAAAAAATATATATATAAACATTAAACTCTCTCCCCCCCCCCCCCCCACCCCCGGTGAGTTAGTTGTTAAAGACACTGGTGGGAAATGGAGTCACACACTGGCAGCCTCAGCTCTGAGTATTCTTTCTCAGAAACAATAAAATTCCTGACCAGATCTTTTAAGTATCAGCCTGGCTCAGTTTGGGAGCTCTCTCACCTCCCAGTCTCAAACTTGTGGGCTCAAGACCCCCCGTTAGGGCTTCGAGCTCACGCAATCCGGGCTGACACTGCACTACAGTGCTGGGTTGTGCTGCATTGTTTGGATGTGACGTGTTTCAGATGAGACGACAACAACAACTTGTGTTCATATAGCGCCCTTCGCGTGGGGTAGTGTCCCGGAGCACTTGACACATTAACCTGAGGTCCCATCTGCCATTCTCTCTCTCTCTCTCTCCTGGTGTCCTGGACAAGAACCCCGCAGATAAGATTGATCGTTCACTTCACGGCTGTTTCGTGGAGCATTGCTGTGTGCAAATGAACTGCTGTGGCTGCCTACTAAACACAGTCACTACACTTTACAGAACATTTTGTGAAGCGCTTTGAGACATCCTCCTGATGTGTAGTCAAATGTAAGGACCATCGTTCTTAAACAATTTAATTCTGCGAAAGACAACGGCAAATGCCTTAAGAATAATCATTGTGATTGATGCAGCGCCTTATCACGTCATTGAGACATCTCAAAGCGCTTCACAAGGTATACTGTGAAGTGGAGTGACTGTGTATATTGTGGGTGAAGCTTTGAGTTATCCAAAGAGGAGAGTAATTTGTCAATGCCGTGCAGTGGTTGCAGTTTGTGCAATCCTGACACAAGTAATCTTGTGATACACCATTAATGGAATGAAAGAGCAAAGTGTAATGTTATGTCCTTGGATAAACGAGTGTGTGTTGATCAGATTTAAGTGCATCTGGCAGCCACTAGTTGTAAGATGGTGGTGCAAGGTACTGGCAGTCAAACCCATTCACGTGTCAAATCAAAGCTTAAATCCCCCCAAATAATTAAATAGAAACCATAGGCCAGTTACCCAATTCAGCACCATCTGATTATCGTCATTAACACAGATCTCACAGCTTGGTCCTGTCGAAGCCTTCTGCTTTGTGCACATGTCCTTATGGAGGAGTGACAACAACAATTTGCACTTGTATAGCACCCTCCACGCAGGACAGAGTCTCAGAGCGCTTAACAGTGACT